GCATAGTATTCCATTGTGTGTATGTAAGGTGGTAACGCTTTTAAGTGATTAAATCTAAAAGGACTCCAAAAGCACTTGTACATGTGAAAAATAATAGGTTTAAGATCCATTTAAATCACATCTGAAATAGAGAAAAGTTTTTACACTTTGGCATTAATGAGCTAGGGCCTTTTATAATTAGAACGTGATTATATAATATAAGTGAGCTATACCTATTAGACATCAAATATTTTAACTTTTTTTTTTTCATGTGATGGCAGATCCTTATACTTCTCCCTTTCTATCTTCTTCCTTCTCTTCCTTAATACTCTCTTATTTTATAAAGGAAATTCATGTCATGTTAAAGTTTGATTTCTTGCAATGTTGTGTTAAAGTAGCAAGAGATAAGAAATGTTATTTTCTAGGAGAATTTTTGCTTAAATATTCACATAATGTCTAAGGAGAAATGATTAACTTCTTGAAATTAAATGATCTGAAGGCTATTAGATTCCTTCAGAGCAGTTTGATCTGCCACTTAGTAATGAGTGTGTGTCTTCCACTGAGTGTGTGGCCAATGTTACTATAACACTGTGAGTCAAGTTGATCTGAAAGGGCCTCCAGGTCTCATACACTGAGCAGTCCCTCTCTAATAGTCTGTTCCATTTGGCGTTTATATGGTGATTAAGATCACCCATTGATACCTATATAGGTCATGTAATGGATTTCTCATGTTTGCTGGGTGATAGGCTCTGACTTGAAGGGATCTGTGAAAGCAAATGTTTCTATGCTAAAGCAGCATATGAACTAGGGAGGATGGCCAAGTAATTATCTGGACTCTATTATATGTCCTTACAAACTCATGTTTTAACCTAATAGTCATTATTTTATCAATTAGCGGAAACTGATTACAAAAAAACCAAAACTGCAGTTACCTAGGTTTGTATGAGGCTGGCCTCATTGAGAAAACCTTCATTTTACATCAGTCATCCAATTTTCTTTTTGCTTTTGCTTGACTTTAGAGTTATTTTCTTTTGTCTCTGATGTCCCTGTACATTCTGAGGTCTTTCAAGTCTTTGAAGTCTCTCAATTTAAAGAAAAGTTACCCTTGTATCATTGGTTTACTTCAGATCAAAACACAACTGAATTTGGAGTTGGGGAAAATGTTGATAGTTTAAAAGAAATGTTTATTTCCTCCAGTATTGTAGCTTTCCTGCATTTTGGCAGACTTTTAAAGATTTATGCTGTAGTATAATCAGGAAAGATTTTTTTTTAAAAAAAAACAGGGAGGTTTCTTTTGTCTCTTAGAGTAATTTGGAGAGAAGGGAAAGTAAGCTACAGACTCACTTGGTACCAAATAGTACAAAGTAGTTTCTCAGGAAATACTTAAGTAGTTAGTATATCTCTTTGATGTTTCTGCCTTTAGCATTAATATAGGGAGATAACTTGTAGTTTTTCCCAAGTTATTTCCATAGGAACCAAAAATAATTTAATATGCCAGTACAGAAATGCTTCAATGCATTGGATGAAAATTGCATATAGCAAAATAATTAGGGCATTACTTTGAGAGTTCTTACTTCAATCATACCTATTTCCTTTCTTTAAATTAGTTTAGAGCTGTATATTACCCCCCCTTTTTTTTTTTCAGTCATACATGCCTGAAAAAGACATTGATCCTTTAAAAAGCAAAACTCAAAAAAACTAATTGTAGTACCTGTGAGTATACATCATTTTTTCCACTTTGCTATGTACCATTTAAGTACCGGATGTCATAATTGGCATCCTTATAAATAGAAATCTTCCTTGTGTGAGATCTGGTAGAATTGATGGGGGTAGGACTGTTCTGGTTAACTAGTGCCACTCTGACAGGAATATACCATAAATAGGATGGCTTGAATAAACCGGAGTTTATTCTCTTACAGTTTGGTAGGCTAGAAGTCCAAGTTCAAAGTGCCAGGCTCTAGGGGCTGTATGAAAGCCCCTCGACCTTGGGCTTCAGTTCTGCCTCTTGCTCCCAGCCACTGAAGCTAGAGGCATCTCTTCACTCAGGCAGCTACTGGCTGCTGAGGCTAACAAGCCCAAGGCCGACAAATACAATGGCACAGTCCTGATGTTACCAAACCACATGGCAGGCCATTAATATAAGTCCATTGAAAGTCCACAGGTTGGCAGAGCATGACTGGCTGCTGAACAATGACATGGCTACATGCAGGGTTTAAGCGTGCCATAAGCTTTAGAGACCATTCTCAAAGCAGTTTCTTACATATGAGCAGACCACATACCCAAAGGCAGCTACTTAGCTGGTCACAGTAGATCCCACCATGGAGATGATTACCAGTCTCATCATGGAGAATACTACATCCAGCTGCCCAGCCACTCAGCTGGGCCTAGCTAAGTTGACACACAAACTTAACCACCACAAGGACCTTCAGATGTATTAGGAAAGTTACATGTGACATGCACATGTGGATTCTACTGTGTCTCTGAACTGAGTTTCAGTCTCTGCTGACAGGGTTGTCTCAGTGTGGGATGAAGAATTGCTGCTTCTTATTCTGTTCTTTTGTAGGGAGGTTTGGAGAGAGACCTCTGACCTAGTGGGTGTTTAGAGAAAACACTGACATTCTTTATAGTTCTGGAGACCTTGATAACTTTAAGAACTGAAATTTTAGTGTTTATTGAATACTGTGATGTCAGTGTATAGTAATCTTTAAACTATGTAAAATGTACTTCTTGTGTCTCCAAACATCCTGCCTTCTTTTGTGACTACATCCTTCTCTTAGCCAAAATAACAAGCTAACTTGAATTTCAATTTTCAATATCCTTCTCTGGCAGATGTTTTCTGGCAAAGGCCTTCCTGCATTTATGAATTCTCTCTCAAGAAGCAAGAGAACACCTGCAGGAAGTGAATCAAGATTCAGAACACAGAGGAATAATCACCTGCTTTACAAAAATAAATAAAGTACTGTTGAAGAAGATCATTTCTCTCTATTTGTTCCTAGGTGTAAAATTTTAATAGTTAATGCAGAATTCTGTAATCATTGAATCATTAGTGGTTAATGTTTCAAAAAGCTCTCGCAATCAAGTCTGTGATGTATTAATAATGCCTTATGTATTGTTTGTAGTCATTTTAAATAGCATGAACCATGTCCCTGTAGTCAGTAGGGGGCAGTCTTGCTTTATTCATTCCCCATCTCAAAATGCATTTGGAATTAAATATTTTAGTGTAAGATATGTATAATGCTGGTCATTTTAAAGGGGTTTTCTCAAAAGTTAAAACTTTTTGTTATGATTGCATTTCTGCACATAAACATATTTGCTGTTAAAGTTAATGTAGAGATTTATTTAGTTGTACTGTGTGAATACTGCAAAGCAAAATCAGTGCAAAATACATTTAAGGTGTGGTCAAAATATGTTCTTAATTGGTAAATAATAAACGTTAATTTTTTTATGGTCAGTATTCTAAATTTTGCAGTACTTTATTATTCTGTGGTGTGTGCCTAAGGGATTCTAAAGGTGTCACTGTATAAGAGAAAGGACAAGGGCAAATGCAACTTACTTACTAAAATGCAATTCTTGTATGAAGAGTTCCCTACCCCTTGTTTTCTTTTTTCTTTTATCTTCTGATGATTAGTCCAGGGGCTGAGAGTGGGGAGGGGATTAGGTACTAGGAGCAAAGAAAGAATTGGCTTGCAATTTTTGAGATGATCCCTAACATACTTGCTTTATGTGTTAGCAGAAACTGATGCGTTAAAAATGTAGAATGATGTGCTTTCTGCCAAGTGGTAATTCACCTTGGTTTGCTATGTTAAAACTGTAAATACAACAGAACATTAATAAATGTCTCTTGTGTAGCAGTTTTTGCTGTAGATTAGTGTTGAATTTCTTGGTTTGCGTGTATCAATTGCTAAGGGGATTTTTATTTTTTTCTTACAGAATCAATAAATATCAACGGTGGTCTTAGGCTAATTTTTTTTTTCCCCTATTTTCAGCCAAGGATATCTCCTTCCTTCAAATCATATCAATACATTCCTGATAATGTAGGTAGAAATTGGGTCTGCAGTATTAATAGACTAATAGGGAGGAGTTTTCAAAATCTTAAATCATTCTGGAATTCCCAGTTATGCTTCACTTTTTAGCCATGTTGTTGTTGTTAGGTGCTGTCGAGTCGAACGTGACTCATAGCGATCCCTCCTTGGGTTTCTGAGGCGGTATCACTACAGAAGTAGATTGCCCAACCTTCCTTCCAAGGAGTGGCATAGTCTTAGAAAATTTATTTCCAATGCTTTCTGATTTTGCTCTTTTTCTCTTGAACATTGCCAGCTGGTTTATGTCATGTGAACACCCAGTTGAAGTGAAAGACTCCTCATTTCTCCTGACTTACATTTTTGTCTCAGTTGTATTAAATTTAGAGATCAGTGGTTCTTTCAGTAGCAGTCATTTGACTTTTCTATTTTTCACTTATTCAAATGAAATATGAAGAAACAGTACAACAACATGGCCAAATAACTACACAAACCAGCACTGTAGTCACAGTATGATAGCTGCATGGTTCATCTGCCACCTGTGAATGTCTGGAATCAGCATAGCAAGGCTGCTTGGGGGTATCTATGCAATACACATGTAGGTTTGAAAGCCAACCTGGAAACTTGAGAGTCCCCTGTATTGATATCTCAGTGATTATTCTAGTCAGTTTATTGATTATCATAAGCCATAGTATACACCTACTCTCCTCACTTAGCGACTATCTCATTATCCAACATTTTACATTTACAACTTGAAAAAATTCTCAGGCAGCACCTCTGATGGTCTGGGCCCCATGCAGTGCCAAAGTCTGGCACAGGGTGCCCTCTGTGGGTCACCCCAAATGATATGCTGGAGGCCCCACTGACGACTGTGCCACACAAGAGACAGTGGTCAGCCAGCTGCAGGATGCCTTCTTCTGTTTGTCTGCAAAGTCTCAGACTGGACAAGAAGGGCACAGTGTGATGGCGGGGTGACACGAGCTTGCAGGTGGGCAGGAAGAGGCTGAGCAAGGGCTTGAAGGTGCCAGGGAGTTTGGTTGGGGGAGGAGGAAAGGGAACTGTGGGGCCAGGGCAGATGGCGGATGAGCAGGATCCCCATCCAGGGTGAGTGGCGGTAGGTTGGCAACAACAACTGACCACCGCTACCATCCCCAATCTGTGGGTTCTGTCGTGGTGGAGAAAGTGGGCCTGCCACACTACATGCATCCCAGGACACACTAGGGATACCTGACAACGATGAACAATGTGGAAGGGGGGGGCACTAACTCCCCCCCATATTGCTGATTTCACGTAACAACCTGGTTTTTAGGACTTAACCATGTTGATAAGTGAAGAGTGGGTATACTACTTTCATATTCAAAAGTTTTATTTTGCAGTAGAGACGAGACATAGGGTTTTATGAAAGTCTCTGAAGACTTTATTTTTCAAATTAAATTGTATCAACAATAGACTTTGGAAGTTTTTATGGCCTATAAAGTTCTAAGATGAGGGAATTTAGCAATCTGAATAAATGTGTGTGTGTGTAGCAGTTGTTATTGTTGGATGCCACAGAGGCTCTTCCCACTCACAGACAGCAACCCTGTGTGCAACACAGCAGAACTCCCTGGTCCTGCACCATCGTCACAATCGTCGCCATGCTTGAGTCCATTGTCGCCGCTGCTGTGTCGACCCATCATGTTGAGGGGCTTTGTCTTTTTCACTGACCTTCTACCAAACATGATGCGCTTGTCCAGGAGTTGCCCTCCTGATAATATGTCCAAAGTAAGTGAGATGAAGTCTTGCCATCCGTGCTTCTAAGGAGCATTCTGTAGCACAGGGAGCTATTATCTTGCAGATCAAAATAGAAGAGCTCTAAATCACAGTGATTCGAACATCATAAACTGCCTTGGTGTTTGTTCTTTAGGTCTTTCTACCTTATTTGGTTTTGTATATTCAGAGAACTGAAATAACTGGAATTCCTATTTCTACATATTTGGTGGTCCATAAGACTGTCAAATGGGAACCCACAGTTTGATGGCCTTTAAAAATACTATAGGGATGATTTCACTTTCCTTTAAATACTTGTCATTTCCAGTATCCGTCGTCAGGTACCCTTAATGTGTCCTGGGATGCGTGTGGTGTGGCAGGCCCACTTTCTCCACCACTGCAGAGCCTATGGGATTGGGGATGGCAGTGGTGGTCAGTTACTGTTGCCAGCCACTCAGCCTGGATGGGGATCCCGTTCATCCTCCATCTGCCCTGGCCCCACAGCTCCCTTCCCTCCGAAAGCCTTTTCAGGTACATAAATTGGTGCCACATGCCATCTAGAGTCCCTGCTGTTCCAGGTGGAATGTTCAATTATTTTCATTTCTTACTCTTTTATTTTTCTCTTTGGTTAGGTTTGTTATAAGAGTAACCCTTTCACATGAGTCTTTAGAATAAATTTCTTTGGAAGGGGATATAGAGGAACTATTGTAATTTGTCTATGAAATAACCTGACTTTGACCCAGAACTGAAGGACAACTAAAACTTACCCATGACCACAGAGGTCCCTCATGTCTGTCATTACTGTTTGGAATTATGCAAGTTTATGTTAAAAGGATTCTGTGTAGCCTTTTTTTTTTTTTTAAGAAGATAGTTTTGTGGGGGATAAAAGGTGCAATTAAAATTTGATTGTGAAAAAATGGGAAGAATAAATATCTACTAATGAGATGAATTTTGTTTAGAATTTTAAAGAAGTGACAGGACTTTTAGTGGTAATCTAATTTTTGCTTTCTTATTAAGTGTAAGTATCTGACTTGAGCTGTTACCCACCATAAGCCAGGAAATTTCTTTTGGCCTTCACTAGATACACTAGAATATATTCCACTTAGCTATAAATTGTTCATATGTTTTAAAAAATAAACTTTGTATGTAAGGAAGAATTAAGAAGTAACTTGAAATGGAGTATCTGGGCCAATAAAACTGATAATTCAAGTGGTTGGCTGAAGTGGCAAGGTTCTGGGGTGTGTATTAGAGCTTAAATTCTAAACCACTTGGCTTGCAGAAGGCTGTGGTCTACAGTGGGAACCTTAAGTCCATTTTGAGTCTTGACATAAATTCAGACACCAGTTGAGTTCTTTCTGACCTTCAACATTGTGGCTATGTACAGACAAGTTCCAGGACAAACCTAAGGAAGGGCAGATTGCATTCAGGAAGAGTATTGTTGAAAGTAGATTATGCTCACACAAGAAACTAGGGAACTTGCCTGAGTGTGTCCTTTTCTAATTTAAATTAAGGTTGAGGTCCTGGTATTGTTTTGTACCCACCGTGGTCCTGAGTCATATCCAGACCACCAAGTAGCCAGGTAGTCAAGGCCCAGAACCAACGCTGTACCTCTTTTTTAAATCTTCAGTTAGGTACAGATCCCAATCATTGTCCTTTCCTCACTTCTGTAGTCCTGCCTGCAACAGTGATAAATCAATCTGCCACCGGTCATGATTGTGTGATGATACCCCTTTTCAATCATATATAACTCGCCCCATGGTCATGACTCAGCAGACTCCATTCAGCTGTGTACATGCTGAGGTTTCCCTCATCCTGGATGATTGCCTTTCTTTTGTATCTGTCCTGTCTAAGGTGTAATAAAAAGTCTCTGTTGAACCTGTTTGAATCTGGACTCTCTTTTCCTCTATTATAGGTGAGAATCAACAAAATTGTCCCCCACAGATGGAGCCCTGGTCTCAGCTTAGATTCTAACCCTACTCCTTCCTCTCACTGTTCCATACTTCCTTGAGGGTTGGAACAGTAGATAGGACATGTAAAATCACTTGGCCCTGGTTTTTGTAAACAACAGTAATCAAATTTAAATTAAAACATGCCAAGAATAGACATAGAACTCTATGTAAAGTACGAGGATATTTTATGGAAAAGTAATTATGACTCCTATTTCCTATCTGATTCTCATTCTTGGTGAAGCCTCAATGGTGAACCCAGGTAAGTAAATATGCAAGTTGTAGTTTAATAACTTTGAAGTTCTGCTGGTGCTAAGTTGGTCATTGATTTTCAGCTATTAAGGGGATTTTCAAGTTTACTTTCCGGCTTTCAGAAGGTGCCTTGAGGAATGAGGAAGGGCAAAACAAAATGCCAAAATATGTTTCTATAGATGGTTTGTGTATTTGGAAAAAAATTTTCTTTGCGTACTTTGAAACCTAAATAATATTTATAGTCTATAAGGTAGATAAAGATGGACTGAGTTGAGAGTATTCAACTGATATTAAAATTACATTGGTTTAACTTTTCGCTTTTGCATATATGTGTATACTTTTGCATATACGTGTATACTTTTGCATATATGTGTAGTTGTACTAACCACAGAAAAATGTTCTTCAACAGGTGGCCTCAAAATACTGGTTCTTTGTAGGCTCTACTACTCAAGTGGAAGACATACCAAGGAAAGACACTAGGAATTCCTAAGGGGAGAGTAAGTTTGGGTTGAGAATAGAGATTTTTCAGGAGGAGGAGATGATTACAGAAATAGATCTTGTATCATCCCTAGTCTAAAAAGATGCTGTTTTATAGCCCAGTTCCTTGTATCACTTACCTACAACTTTATAACTTAGAGAAAGAACTCCTGTGGAAAATACTTGAATGAAGAGTTGCCCAGTTTCTAGTCCATCTTCTATTCTTCTCAGCCCTCCAACTGAGAGTTCTCAGATTTCCCACTTGTAGAATAAATACATTATTCAAAGCTTTAATTTGATACCTGTTTTTACTTAAAAGTTGTTTTTTTCCCCCCCTTTACCAAAAAACATTATCTCCTGATTTGGGCGACTTAGAAAGGTTCAAATCTTTAAAATCTGGATACAGAATAT